CGACTGCGACCTGGACGGCTCCTTCGCCCCCGTGCAGGACGCCGAAAACGGAGCGTAAGTACCTCCAGGAACACTCGTAAAAATATTGTGCGTGATCTGGGCTGTCCGGGTGGCGCCGCGTCAAAGGCTGAGTTGCCGACGTTTCGACCATCCTGTCGTGGTCTTCATCAGGGCTGGTATGCTGGCTCGGCAGGCTCGCATACCAGCCCTGAGGAAGACCACGACAGGATGGTCGAAGCGTCGGCAACTCAGCCTTCGACGCGGCGTCACCCGGACAGCCCAGATCACCCACATGACTCTGGCCGCGGAAGCCTACGACTTCGTAAGAATATTGTCTTGTACGCTCTCATCGGTGTTAAAAACAATTTATTGTCCACGAAACAACTTCTTCGAACTACGCCAATAAAAAAATTAACATACATATATTGTATTATTGCGTGAAAATAAAAAAAACAGATTTAAAAATACACAGTGAAACCTGCCTTAAGCGGTCACCAACGGTTCCGACAAAAATTGGTCCTTTAAGCAGGTGGCTACTTAATTAAGGTTCTGGAAAGCGTAAATAAAATTGATTTGTGTTAATTACTAAAAAAATGAAGCAGGTTATATTTAAAATTTTAATTAATATAAATGGCAATATACAATTTGAACAAAGCTTTTACGATAATTTACTTTCTCTTGGCTAATATCAAAATACCCCTTGTCACTCATTATCAATGTCGAGAAACTCACTTTTCGACCAGATCGAATCAGACAAACTAGCCTTGAAGAAGCAATTCATAGCTGGTAGAAACTTAAAAGCAAGGAATTTACGAATGACTTCAGATCGGATTCGTCCACGCGCCGTGCTCTGTGAAATCTTACCACTCACAGAAGGGAAGTATGAGTAACTATATAACCTTGTCATACTAGCGATAATTCGAAAACTATTTGTAAGATCTACTTGTTTAGAGAGTTGAACTTAATTATACAAAAACATATAATGTTAATATTAACTGATTTTATTCAGTTAAAAGTGCTTTAATTATTTGTTGTAATATGAAAAAAATGTTGATTTACAAATACGTTTCACTCCAAGTACAAAATAAAATATATAATTTATTTCCATTATCGATAGGGACAATTCACAACTAATACACATGATAAGTAAATCCCGAAGCACTTGTTGAAATTTCTATTTTCGACCACTGTTGAAAGTTATCATGTCATGATTCTTCCAAAACGTCTTATAATCACTAATCGAAGACTTACCCAGGTCCCCAAAAATAATTGTGTTAATTTTTTTCATCCATCCAGGATTTTTGAAGTTCATAAAGCGAAATCTCGCGTGTGAAAATATTAATCATACTGTAACATAGAATGAATCGTTTGATTAATTTTCCTCTCAGAAACTAATGCACTGCTAAGCTGACATGGCTATCAGCAGCTGCTTTCGTTTTCGTCTAAAGTCATAAGTCATTTATTAAAGTCGTTGAATTGAATGAATGTTGAGTTAAATGAATCGTGCTCGTTGTGTGGCGGTGTTTCTAGATTTATTTGCCTCGAGGAAACGAGCGGAAGTTCTAAGTCTTCCCATCCTTGAAAAATAGTTTACAGCAGAGAATATCATGAAAAAGGAAGTATTTTCAAGTTTTCTATTGATAATTTTAATACAAGTTCTGGCTCAATTTTTACTTTCTCGCCCTTACGAATAATAGTTTAACATAGAATTAACAAAAACACTTCTTTACTCTAAGACGTTTTAATCTCTGGTTATGCTATTCAAAAATTACTCACTTCAGTGTAATCAAAGCAGACCCAAGTACAATTATTGTTGATTTTCTGTATTATGTACTGCAAATGTTTAAACAGTTAAATGTCTTCATGTTTGTTTTATTTGTAAAAATTATAAATGATTTCCGTTCGTGGCTACCGAAACAAACGCAGGCGTTGGTATTGGTTGAATTTGACTTTCTCAGGTTATAACTGAGTTTTTAATATGGCAGAAATTACAATATTTCAATACTATGTAACTATTTTCAATAATACAAGACAGTGTGTTCTGTTGTAATATCTCTAGTTGTATTGGTTTCAAGGGTGACTCGGGGAAACACAAGATGGTATATCTCTTTGTGATTCAATTTTATCTTTATTTTTTGCATAATAAGACAATGTTTTAGTATCGTTTAATTTTCTTACAGTTTCTTTGTACATTTGAACCTCTGAACAGAACATTCCAGTAGACTTATAGTATATTGTGAGTTACTGAAGGTTAGGCGTGGTCTTTGGATGTAAATCCCGGTAAATGCATTCTACTCTTAAACATCAAATACTTTCCGAATGACAAATATACATCAGAATTGTCTACAGATCATGCACTGGTCTCTACTGGTTGCTCCTATTAAACAATAGAGATATTTGGTTTGGAAATGATACATTTTATAGCTATTTTTATTTGACTGGAATTGGAGTGAGTGTAAAATGCAATGACATAAACATGCGTCCAATTTGCAATATACAGAAAGTCTCAAGATAAATGATATTAACTTCTAGGGCATGTTGAGGGATCAAACATGATCACCTCTTGTCAATGAACATGTGGTGAGAAATTTCACAAGACGAAGCTACATTTCTCTCGATTAACAGGCAACTCCCCATCACAAACCGGTCATGTTTTGACGACGTCAAAAGATTTCGGATACTTGCCGAACTCCGGGGCATGAGGATTTGCCAATCAGGGCAAATATTCATTATATAAAATTTCCTACCATATGTTTATTATTAACAAAAAATAGTATCTTGGATTATTCTACATGCCCTAGAAGTTTGTAACATTTATTCTGAGATATGGTGGGAAAGTGCGTAAATTGAAAAAAAAAAGAATCCATATCTTCAAGATAATGATTTACAACCATTTTTCAGCCGTTTCTGCGCCCGGAAGAACAACACGATGATCAAAGGCTACATGGACGCTGATGGCACGGGCATGAACTGCAGTAAGTACAAGACTGTACATACTTATGATTATTACATTGAAATTTATCAATTAATCGCAAGTTTTTCTAACATTATTCAACATAGGTTTGTAAAGTACCCACACATATTCGTTTATTTTTAATTCATCTTACGCAACACAGCTACAATTTGAACAGTTTTTAATAAAGTTTTGAAGCACACGGTGACGGGCGTTGTCGTGCTATTTGTCATAGGTTCCGTCGTTGATCCGGTAATGACGATCGGTAGCCCGGCAACACGGTGCGATATAGCAGGGCACACAAGTTGTGCTAATCTTCGTGTTCTTTATAAATGAACTATTGCTGAAGCGAATTAAGTCGATGCCTCGGTACTTGTTCGCAGATTGCGCCCGAGATGAAGACCGCGAGAAGCAACAGAAGATGTGCCTCGGCAACGGCAATTACAATCCCAAGCAGAAAGACGGCGAAGATCCCTTCTGCGTGGATCAGGATGGGTTTTTCACTAAAAAAGTAAACAGCGACAACTCATGTACCAGCTAAACAGTATCTGTAAAACATGGCTGCCAGAATGATGTCTGTGTCTGTCACACATTTTTATGAATAGTATCTGAATCACCCTCAAACAAGTTGTAGCATTCGTGTGATTACAATCATTTGCTAAACAAATGACTTATTTTGAGGACGGTGTGGAAGATAGCGGTTGACGAAAAACGTAGCTTGAAAGTTTTTGTTTCATTTTTCTTCTTTACAAGTATATGGTTTTGAAGGATTATAAAATTTGTGACTCATCATAATTATCTTCTTTTTTGCAAAAAAAAAAAAAATTTATGATGACACTTTTATGATTAAATTAAATTTTACACAGTTTTGCAGATTAACTCACGAAAGCGTATTGTTAAAATGCGTAAAAAATATATTTCAATGTTTATAGTCTTTTAACATCTAACTACACTGGGACAACATTAAAGTATATAATTTAATTTAAATTTGATGTATCTGTATTGACTTTTAAGACTTTGTAATAGCTTCAATGAAACAGAAATAAAACTAGAAGTCAAACAGAATGTCACTGACAATTTCGTGCTAGTTCGAATTCTTTTTAGTTATTTTTTTCCTTCAACCTTCAATTATTTTTAGTTTGATCTGCATTGTCTGTCAGTTTCACCGCACCCTTCTCCCGACTACCTTCTTTCGTCGTTCAAGGGACATACCACGCTTTCCCTCGGTAACTAGAGCTCCCCTGAAAACAATTCACAGTGAAAAGCTACCTCGTAATCTTAAAATGGTCCACTGAGGCCCTATCTCGCTCCTGTACTAATGTCCGTGGTAGCTCTTATCTCATCCATGAGCTTGTTGCATGACCCCCCCCC